ACTCTATGGGTCCACTTATACGTGGACTTTTGTTGCTGTTGTATAAATACAGTACAGTACTGTAAATATATTTTTTCTTATGATTTTCTTTTTTTTTTAAATTTACTTCTTTTTTGAGATAGAGAGAAAGAGAGCTAGTGGGGGAGAGGCAGTTAGAGAGGGAAACAGAGAATGGGAAGGAGGCTCTGTGCTGACAATAGAGAGCCCAATGTGGGGCTCGAACCCACGAACCATGAGATCATGACTGGAGCTAAAGGCAGATGCTTACCCAGCTGAGTCACCCGGGCTCCCCATTTCTTATGATTTTCTTTACATTTTCTTTTCTTGAGCTTACTTTATTATAAAAATACAGTATGTAATGCATATAACATGCAGAATATTTGTTAATTGACTAAGTTATTACAGTCACCTATTTAAGGCTTCCAAATAGTAGGCTATTAGTAGTTAAGTTTTTGGGGAGTTGAAAGTTGTACACAGATCTTTGTGCAGGGGTCAGTGCCCCTAATCCTTGGTTTTTCAAGGGTCACTTATGTAAGAAAAATGGTAAATTTCCAGTTTGTTTATTTAAAGCTGGGATATTATGCAGTCCCTAAAATGATATTTACAAAGAGTTCCTAATGACATGTGGAAATGTTGATGGTATTGAGTTTAAAAAAATATATTAAATGACAACATTTAATATAAGCTCATCTATGTAATGAGCTGTGTATGTAAAACTAATATAGAAAAAGAACTAAGAGAAATATGTCAATGTTAGTAGTTATTTACTCTGAAAGGGCTACTTAGGGCAGTTTTTGTTTATTTATACTTCGTAAAAATGTTTTTCATATTTTCTGCTATGGATCACACTGTATTTAGAAAAATAAACCCTCAAGGTTCTTGTCTGAGCCACACTCAGCCCGTCTTCTGGGCAGAAGATCTCAGTGGCTCCCAGTCTTGAGCCTGAACCTTGCTTACAGGTGGTACCCAGTGGAACTGGCCACTTGTAGCTTATCACGCTTGAGTTCTGTAGTCTGCTCTCAGGAACTGTGTTTTTCAGATTGTAAGTCAAAACATAGGTATTAATTCTCATGCCTTTTTTGCTCTGATTTCTGGCTTCTTTCCCTGCACATCATTACTCATTTTGACCTCTCCCAAAGAAGTCTCTCCTATAAAGAGATTTTGACTTCAAGCCTCTCAAGACAGAGGTATATCCCAGGTTTTAGGAATTTATTTTTCTTTTCTGGTTGGTTTAATAAAAGTCATTCAACCTTCAGACTGACTTTAGAGCAGGATTTCAGAGCATATTTAAGTGGTCTTCTGAATGGGCTTGTAAGTGAGAGAGTTGGGAAGGGAGGTTTGCATGAATATATTAACATGGGATCACTTAGTTTGTTGTTTTGGAATGAATCTATTCATAGGATTGGGTGTTCAGTATGACTTTTTAAACCAAGGATGAATGAATAAGGAATGCATACAGGTCATGAACAAAAAGAGGGGGTCCAACTTCCAGGTTCGGATAGTTACTTTCTCATGTGTGTGGAAAACTTTAAACTTCCTTGCATTTATGTGATGCTTTGGGCAACCTGCATTTGATTGTTTTATATTTTCAGGTGTCATTTGCTGATTTCTCCTTGCTCTGGGTACTTACTCCAGAATGCAATGTGGTATGTCTGGCAATTGATCTGATGCCCTCTTCAGGCTTAACATGGAGCCATGAACAGAGGCAGAGGCCTTGAGTGATTTTGGAATGATTTTGGACTCTTGAGCCCTTTCCACCGGCTTCTAGTAGCTATGTACCAAAACATGATGCAAACAGCTATGTGTAGTTTAGGATCTCCAAAGAATGAGATTTTTTAAAAAAGTTTTTTTCAATGTTTATTTATTTTTTAGAGAAAGAGACAGAGTGTGAGCAGGAAAGAGGCAGAGAGAAAGGGAGACATAATCCGAAGCAGGCTCCAGGCTCTGAACTGTTAGCACAGAGCCCGATGTAGGGCTCGAACTCATGAGCTATGAGACCATGACCTGAGCCGAAGTTGGATGCTTAACTGATTGAGCCACCCAGGTGTCCCTAGAGAATGAGACTTGATTAGGGGATGGCAGAAGTTGAGGGTGGGGAGGTATCCCTACATTTATCAGGCAGTCAGGGGCAGAGAACAAGGTCCTGGCCATGAAGAGCACCAGGATAAAGCATACTAAAGCAGAATAGGTGGTCAAGGAGGAGGGTGGCTGGGAGTGTCCTGTGTTACAGAGACCTCGGGAGGGTTAGAAATGAAAGGAAGCTGTTAGACTTGGTCATAAAGAGGTGGTCAGAGACCTTTTCAAGGCAATACCACAGCACTTTCATGGAGGCTAAGCAGATCCCAGGGAGCTGAGGGGTTAGGGAGGCAGGGATGTTGGGTGGGGAAGGGAAGGCAAGAGACTGAGGTGTGGTTATGGAGACAAGCTTTGGAGGGTTAGGTGATGCAGAGGCTGTTCAGAGGTTGAGGTCAAGGCGAGTGAAGAGAGGTGGGGTAAAGATGCAATAATGCTGAAATAATGTTCTAATAATGGTGAAAACTGAATCAAGGGTGTGGTTGGAAGAATTAGCCATTTTATCCTCTGCAAAGAGAAGAAATGAAATAAAAATGGGTAAAGAAAGATGTTTTGAGGCTCACAGGAAAGACTCCAAGGTGCTCATACTTGATGGGCTGAATGAAGTAGAAGGTAAGATAATCTGGGAGGAGGTGGAAGGGTGGGCAGGCTGGGAGTGGTGCCTGGAGCCAGGAGCAAGGGTTTACAAGCAGTTGCCGTGAGAATGGGAAGGAGCATCCATAGCCTAGCTCTGGCTTCCTTGAGAAGTAATTAATGCATATTACACTCATTTCAACAGCTTCTAGAGATCCCCACGATCAGACAAATTCATAAATATTTATTTACTGTACCCACAAAGTACTCCAGAGATCTTCTTACTTTCTCTTCAAAGCATCCTTGATGATTATTCTTTTTCATTCCTCTAATTGCACACCAGAGAAAACCTCAGTTAGATGCAACTAGTTTTTAGACCACTAAACACCTGCATATCTTGCGAATGCATGCCTGAGCCCAGAACTCTCGGTAAGTGCTGGCTTGAGAGAGGACGAGGCCGTGACTTTTCAAATAATTGAGCCTTGGATCAGTAATGTTTCTCGGGTTTCCAGCCCTATCAGGCACCTGCTCATTCAGGTAATTGTCAAACCCGGTCACCTCCATTTGCTCCAGTAACTTTTGAAGCCCTTTGAAACCCCCCCCCCCCTTTTGCTCCTGGCACTGTGAGGAGGGCACAGGAAAGAGAGACCATTGTGTGGAAACCATACACTGAACGAGGGGGAAGTAGCCTTGTATTTCCCTTGATATAATCATCACTTCCTTTATAATTTACCAAAGGTCTATGATGAGGGATAATTTGGCTCTTAGAAGATAGAAAATTGTTCCTAATATGGGGAAAAGGCTGCTTGTAATTCGAAACTCCCAAAGTTCAGGGAAGGGTCAGGGGCTATTAGTTGGCATGCCCAGAAGACTCAGCATTTTGGAGAGGACACTTTGGGATCAACTTCTGGAATGGCTGTGGCAGGTCCCCAAATGGCTTCTTGTGGCAATTAATGGGTGCAGATATGGAGCTGAGACCTGTTTCTTCTGTGGGGAACCCATCTCATCTGGTCAGCAATTAAGTGTGTCACTGAAGGTATAGAAAAAAAGACCTGTTTAAACAGGGGTCAGGCCATCTATTTCATTGACTGATTTTTTTTTATGTTTATTTATTTTGAGAGAGAGAGTTGTGTACACATGCATAGGAGAGGGAGAGAGAGAGAGAGAGAGAGAGAATCCCAAGCACACTTCTTGCTGACAGGGCAGAGACTGACACGGGGCTCGATCTCACAAACTGTGAGATCATGGCCTGAGCTGAAATCAAGCGTTGGATTCTCAACTGACTGAGCCATCAGGAGCCCCATCACTGGCAATGAGTTTTTAATCTAAACGTTGCTCGAGATCACAGTCTCTATCTGTAAGACTGAGCCTAACAAGACATCATGTCCCTGAGTAGTGCATTAGCAAGTGCAGACAGTGCTTTGAGTCCTTCAGGGATAGAGAGAAAAGCCTGTGGTTAGAGGTCTAACCTTCCATTTACTTGGCCTTTACTCCTTTTTCACTTTGGTGGGTAATTCAAGATTTGTGGGTTTTCCTCCGCCTTTGGGCTGGACGATGGTAAACAGGACTTGAAGGGTGATTCCACCTAGAACGAGGCAGAGGGCATGTTCACCAATAATGGGAGCTGAATACATCAGGTTCATTAATTAAAGGATGACTATGATATAGGCGAGAATGAGAGACCACGCTGGCCGTGCCAGATGCTTTGTCTTAGAGCCTTAATCACAACTCGTACAGCAGGGCTTCTGTGAATTATATATTGAGTCATTAAAATAACTATTCAACTCGTAGCTCCTCCTTGTAACTTTCCATTTGAAGACTAAAGTTTTCTACAGACTCAACCCAGTTTTCTACGAACCCCAGCCCCTCCATATCAACACCTAAGATGGGTATACAGACTCTAGATGACCAAATTCTTGAGAAGGCAGCTTGTGGAGGGGGCTGTGCCCAGCTCAGGAGCACTGAGAATGGGGGGCACGCTGAGCCAGAGTTGGCAGTGCCCTTGGGGGAAATGTTGGTGGTATTGACGGTACTATTCCTGTTAGTCTGACAGTTCTCTCTGTACTCTGAGCAAGGATCTATCACACGCTGCCCCAGTTCTTGAAAGTCATTCAGTTGAAAAGGGATGACAACTGAATAGCCGTACTGGGCCTGCCCATTTGCTAAAAACCTCAAACACACAATTTGTATAGGTCCCAAGCGTCTGCTTTCCTGACATATGCTGCCTTCGGGCTCTTCTCTCGCTTTCTGTGCTGCAGAGAGGGTCATTGCGATCCCTTCTGCCCTTGGGTGTGGTAATGAGACCTTGTGTTCATGCTACCTGTCCCTTCTGTGTGCTCCCCTGCCCTCTCCAGACTGCCATCCTCTGTGCCAGCACTGTGCAGCCGACCTCCACAACACCGGGAGCATCTGCCTGAGCTGCCAGAATGCCCGGCACCTGCTGCTGGGGGACCACTGTGTTCCTGATTGCCCTTCTGGATTCTACGCAGAGAGAGGAGCTTGTAAAAGTGAGTAAGTGCTGGACACAAGGGCTGGTGGTGCCTCACGAGTTTCTCCCTCTTTGGGGCAGTAGTGGAGAAGATTTGAACTTGAATTTGAGAGAGAGAGAGAGAGAGATAGAGAGAGAGAGAGAGAGAGAGAAGGCAGGAAGCACGCTGTGGGACAGTAAACCAGACCAGCTGTCAGCTGGGGCTTTAACTAATGCTTCCCAGACTGCTGCTTTGGAAAGGAGTTTGACTTCATAGATTCTCTTTGTGTCTCTTTTCACTCTGCAGAATGTCACTCCTCCTGTAGAACCTGCCGGGGCACAGGACCCTTCTCCTGCACCTCCTGTGATGCCAGCCTCGTGCTGTCCCACCTTGGCACCTGCACTACTGCCTGCTTCCCCGGGCACTATCTCGATGACGGCCGTGTTTGTCAGCGTAGGTTTTAAAAACTGAACTTTGTCTCCTCTCCTGCTCGTCAGGAGTCACTGCAGGAAATATGAAGTTCTTGCATCCATATTCCCACTTGAGAGCCTTTATTTTGAAAAAGAAGGTGAAGCTACAAAGGTGTATGGATGCCATTAGTAGGCTATAACTCAGACATCGGCCTAACCGGAAGGTCCTGAGCTAAGGGTCTCTGCAAGGACCAGCCGTGTGATCTGAGGCCACCCATCTAGCTTCTCTGTTCTCTAGTTACCTCATTTTTTAAATAAAAGTATTGGTCTATTTTATCCTCGTGGTTTCTCTCAGCAATTCAATTACAAGATCCTGAGCAGAGCGTGGAACTCGCTCTGGTACCCAATCAGTGACCTAAGAATTTGTCTGTATTTAGTTTGTTTTCTGTATGTATTTGTTGAATATTGACAATGTGCAAGACTTGACACACCACAAAGCATTCGGTTTCTGCTCAAACAGTAGTTATTTTGTCTTGCATGAGAGTTACTTGTGTAGATATCTTATTTCTCAAAGAAGTCAAAATATGTTTAATTACCTATGTCAGGCACAAACGAAGAGTTAGGGTAAATTAGGGAAAGGGCAAATTGGAGTAGAAAAGAAATCAGGAAATCCTTCACAGATGAAGGAACAGTTTTTGAGATACACTGAGGTAGCTTACTGTATTTCAATCACTAAAATGACATTTGCAAAAAAATTTTGTTATACTTTTTCTTTTTGAAAATGACAGCTAACAAATACAGTGCTGGTATTTCAATTTTATGTCCTAGAAGTACCGTATTGAGGGAATTACAGACTGGTGGTTAGAAAGGTGGGCTCTGGACTCATGTGACTGAAGTTCAAGACCTACCTACCACTTACTAGCTCTGTGCCCTTGAGCAACTGAATTAACTTCTAGGCCTCAGTTTCCCTTTCTGTCAAAGGGGGATTACAATGGTACCTACATCTAATGTTCTTGCACTTGGCATGGACCTTAGCAGAGAACAGCTTTCAGTACAGATGAGCTATTATTGTCATCATTATCATCATCATCACCATCATCATTCTCCAGAATGAGAGGCAAATCAAGCAGTTTAAGATATTTATATTTTATAGATAGAAAGATAATTACTACTATTAGTTCACTGAGATGCTTGCAAGAATTTGCATTTGAAATGCATTTGAAATTCATTTGAAATGAATTTGTGTGGAACTCACCATTTTGCATCATCTGTTGAGGCAACAGAGATAAAAAAAACTCTTTTTGGACCCATGAAAAATGTCTTTGCTTTTATAACAAAAACTTTGCTCAGTATATATCAACTGCCTACCAGTATCCATAGATTCTCTAACACAAGAGACATGAATGAAATACTTGCATGTTCTGTTCAAGAGCGAGGAGAGTGTTGGTGGAGAAATAGTGACTGAGATTGATGAGGCTCTTCACAGCAGTGGAATCATAGAAATAAAAGTTCGAAAGAAAAAATGGAATCTTTTGTGTGGGACATAGATGACAAAAAAATGTGGCATTGAAATATTTCTTTCTGAGAAGCTTTTTTCCTCGGTGCAAGGTGATTTCTGCACAAATGCATTTTCTATGCTACCATGTAAATAAGATTTCATAGACTGTTTCAGTTAAATCAAGAACCTCTCAGCTTTAGACCTTTGGTAAAGCTTAAGTTTCATTCTTTCAAAGATTGAATGAAGCATGCCCTTAAGTTGGGATATTTGAGCTTCTAGTATGTAAAAAAATATCAACAATATTCCTTTCTAATGCTCATCATTATAGACAATTATAGGCCTGACAATTTTAGAAATTGTGCAGGGAAGGGCTTTTAAGGAAATTTAACAGGTGTTAAGGGGAGGCATTAATAGAAGAAAGTAGGAGCTGGAGAACTGTCTGGATTTGGGTTATAGAGAGGTTTAGAAATTACACACTGAGCTCTAAAATTCAAGGATGATCAGTTGAGGCAGGAACTTTAAAAAAGAAATGATAAATGAGGCTCTCAGCACTTGAAGCTGTAGTACTTTAGAGGTGAGGAGGTGGCCTCCTCCTGGGTGGCCAGAAGCAACCTTGTACCCAATGCAGAGATTCTGTTTCACTCCCCCTCACGGACTTCTACTGATGAGGAAGGACACCAGGTCCATTGCAGGGGGTGGTAGTTGTTTAGTTGTCTAACTGTTCTTTCTCATCAGCCTTCTGATGCTCCCCTCTGCAGTGGTATAGAATAAGCTCCCTTCCCCATTCACAGATTACCTTCCAAAGTTTGAAATTAGCTGTCATTTCCCACTTGCACTTTGCTGCTCCAGGCAAAACTAGAGCCAGCAGAGTATTGGGACAGCAATGGATGATTCTCTCTCAGAGCTGTGGTAGAAAACAAGCCTGTTTAAGAAGGAGAGTAGATTTCATGAGCTGTGAGGTCCCTTCCTCCTTCATGAGTGATTATTAATGTACATCTCTGCTTCCCTCACTGGTTTCTGGTCCACTTATCACCATCGTCACTGTCCTCTTGGCACTTTCTGGAGTCCAGGACCTCAGAGAACTGTACCAGGGACTCTATGTTGGATGTGATCACACCAACATGACTAATACCATGTGTGGTCTGAATATCCTAAGACAGAGAAAATGCTCCTTACCCACATTCCTTTGGAGATGGAAGCTGAAAACCCAAGGGGCTTTGGTATGTGCAGAACTGCTCTGAATAGGACAAGGTCATTTGTGCATTGCCTTGGTAAGAGATGAGGGGTTTGATGAAAGAGGAAGCAGGGTTCAGATAGACATGGCAGAAGCTCCCTGATCCTCGGTGTGATACTGCTGCATCCTTCCAAATCTCCATATAGTTTTCTAGAATTTCAAAATGCACGAATCCATTTCTTTCAGAAGCCAGTAGAGATGCTGAGTTATACTTTGAGGTACCAAGGGGGAATGAAAGACTGCATAGAGGGATTCAAGAATAAGAAGGTGTATAGGTGCTTGAGGAAGTAAATTACAAGAAGCTCTCACCTATCAGAACAGGGAACCGTCCTGTAACTCTAAGCTGGGGAAGTGCATTTGGGCTTCATTTTGCAGCTCTGTGCCAAGAAGTGGGGTCCAGCTAGCATTTAGGCTCTGTAGTTTAAGATTGAGTTAGTTTCTTTAGTAACCATATCACACCTTTAATAGGCTTTTAATGAACTAAAATTCTTAGATCATTTTTTATAGGAACTGCTGTCTAAACAGTTCTCCTGTTTCCTTTTTCTGTGCAATTGATTAAAGACAATAAATGTAGGACTTACAGTTTTGTTTATTCCATCTGACTCCTTTTAGTTTATTGCTTCAGCTAGCTAAAACTGATTGTGAATTGTTCTGGAGAAATTTGACTATTAGGTGTATGTGGCATATTTGAATATCATTAGCATGATTTCTTTGTTTTTATTAAAGTTATTAATAAAAATACTGATTGAGTAAAAAATTAAGATTTCATCATAATATTCTACTAAAGACATTTTACTAATTGCAAAGATTTACTGATAACTTTTTGAGTATGCATTTCAACCATCTTCAAATCCACCTAAAACTACTAGTTCGCCCTTCATTTTTGTATTCACAGGCTTATTGTTGAGATTTTTGTCAAAACCTTTGCCAAAATTAAGATATACCATGTGTAAAAATTCTATCCAAATTAAAAAAGAGAGATGGAAATTTAATTTCATATAAGTTTCCAAAAATTAAAATATTCTTTTCTAATTATTCTCAAACCATCTGTTTGAAAATCCAGTCTAGAATTTTTCTAGGACCTTTAATTACCAATCTACATATTCTAATGAATATTTTATATCAGTGACATTTCTCATAGGTGAAACGAGAGGACTTCATTTTTTTTTTTTTTACCAGGAGGTAATTTTCCTGCACTGTGCCACACACTTTGATATTCTTTAGACCTGAAACTCATATGGTGGTCTAGATTTGTCCTCTGATAGGTACTTAAGAGAAAATTTCAGAATGAGGCAGAGATGGTAGTGCTTGAATATATATAATTACAATATCTGGTTTCTTTCATTTATGTGTATATGTTTATTGAACACCCATAATATGAAAGATGACCTAGCTGGGCACTATTGGAAGTACCAAAACAAACCTACTCTTTGCTTGCATGAAGCTTCTAGCTTAAAGGATGCAGAAGGTAAATAATTGCTTAAATGAAAATTATTATGTATGACATGAATGAAATGTCTGAGGTGCTATAAGAGCAGTGACAGGGAGACTTGCTTTAGACTGGAGAGTCAGGGAAGGCCTTCTTGAAGAAGCCACTGAAGATTGAATAAGAGTTAAGGACAAGAGACTTAGAGATTATATTGAGAGGATTAAAGTATGTGTATTAAGATATCTAGGTAGAGGGACGCCTGGTGGCTCAGTCGGTTAAGCGTCCGACTTCAGCTCAGGTCATGATCTCACGGTTTGTGGGTTCGAGCCCTGCGCTGGGCTCTGTGCTGACAGCTAGCTCAGAGCCTGGAGCCTGTCTTTGGATTCTGTGTCTCCCTCTCTCTCTGATCCTCCCCTGCTCATGCTGTCTCTATCTCTCTCTCAAAAATAAATAAAACATTAAAACAAAAATTAAAAAAAAAAAAGATATCTAGCTAGAAAGCATGAAGGCAATGATGGAGATCAATATTTGCAGAAATGATGGCTGGAAACTATCCAGACTGGAAGAAAGATATGAATTTATAGATGAAAGTGTCCTCTAAAACCTGAGCAGTATAAATTAAAAAAAAACTAAAATGCCCTTATGGAGACATGGAAAATAGAATGCAAGGGGGTCAAACTTAGTAAGGAGAAACCAATTAGGATGCTATGACATTAGTCCAGTAGAGTATGATGATGACTTAGATGTACTGGTACATGGGGATATGGAGAAAAGCAAAAAGTTCTGAGAATTACATAGGAAACTTTGAATTAATAGGATCCAATAAGTGTGAGGATTAGGAATGAAAGGGGAGTGTCAAGCTGGCCTCTAAGGTTTCTAGCATGGACAACTGAGGAGATGGAGAAATGCCAGTTGTTAAGTCAGGGAAGATGGAAGCATGACCAGATTTGGGGATCATCCCTGAATTTCTGAATTCAATAGCTGATGAGAATTACAAATGGGTGAGGCAGTAAGCCAGGCCTCCTTGAAGTCCTATGGGACTTAAAATATGGGATTTCCTGAGCTTCCCAATAAAATTGATAACTAATTTTCATCTTGACATCATTCAAAAATCTGAATCCACGTCATGAACTACAGGGGGCTTGATTCCTTAAGAAGTAAGATCTAAATACATCTCTGGACTATTATTCCAGAGGTCCTGGAGTAAGTATAAGTTCTGTGGCTGCATCACAGGGCAAGTTGGATGTGGAATTACCATTCTTGTGCTTATAATTTATCTTCTCTGGAAACTAAGAGTAACATTTTCTGTTTCTGTTGATCACAGGGGAGAGTTATGAGCCATAATTAAATAACAGGTTGGAGCAGCACTTTGCTCCTTTGTAGCATCTGTCTAGGTTTGATCAGTGCTTCAGTATTTGCAATTGTAATTATCTGGTCATTTTCTTTTCCTATCTGCTCAGCATGCAGCGCACATTGCAGAAGCTGTGATTCACAGGCCAGCTGTACCTCCTGCCGAGATCCAAACAAGGTCCTGCTCTTTGGGGAATGTCAGTATGAGAGCTGTGCCCCACAGTACTATCTTGACTTCTCCACCAAGATATGCAGAGGTAAAGCTCATCCTGAACTTTGCAGTGATTCTTTTACTCCGTGAGCTCCCTTTACCGTAGATGTCTGTCCCCCCACCCCCCACTGGAAAAATACTGTCATATGTTTAGACCTTTCTCTGGTCTTAGCAAGAAGTCATCATGTTTTATGAATGTATGTATGTGATTTTCTTTTTCTTAGTATGTAATTTCTTTCTTTTTTGCTTTTTTAAAGTTTATTTGTTTATTTTGAAAGAGAGAGAGAGGGAGCAAGCATGATCAGGGAAGGGGTAGAGAGAGAAGGGGAGAGAGAGAATCCCAACCAGGCTCCACACCATCAGTGAAGAGCCAGATGTAGGTCTCAAATTCATAAACCATGAAATCATGACCTGAGTTGAGATCAGGAGTTGGTGGTTTAACTGACTATACCACCTAGTCACCCTTGTATTTAATTTATTTCTCAAGAATATATTTTTTTAATGCTTGTTTGTTTATTTTAATGTTTATTTGTTTTTGAGAAAGAGACAGAGACAGAGCGTGAGTGGGGGAGGGGCAGAGAGAGAGAGGGACACACAGAATCTGTAGTAGGATGTTCCTACTCCAAGAATTTGTTGTCTTTCCAATTTTTTTCTTGTGGTTGATTTCGAGTTTTATAGCATTGTGGTCTAAAAACATGCATGGTATGATCTGGATCTTTTTGTACTTATTGAGGGCTGATTTGTGTCCCAGGAGGTGATCTAGTAGAATATTCCGTTTCTACTCCAGAAGAATGTGTATTCTGCCGTTAGGATGAAATGTTATAATGCCCTTCTTCATCTCTTGTTATTTTTTATTTTAAAATCTAGATTGTCTGATAAAAGTATGGCCACCCTGGCTTTCTTTCGGTGACCATTAGGATGATAGATGGTTCTTTATCCAGGAGACACAGAATGTGAAGCAAGCTCTACGCTCTGAACTGTCAGCACAGAGCTCAATATGGGGCTCAAACTCATGAATTGTGAGATCATGACCTGAGGTGAAGTCAAACGCTTAACCAACTAAGTCACCTGGAGGCCTAATATTTATTTATTTTTGAGAGAGAGAGAAAGAGAGAGCGGGAAGGGACAGAGAGAGAGGGAGATACAGAATCTGCATTAGGCTCCAGGCTCTGAGCTGTCCGCACAGAGCCTGACATGGGGCTCAAACTCACGAACCATGAGCTCATGACCTGAGCCAAAGTTGGAAGCTTAACCAACTGAACTACTCAGGTGCCCAAGAAAATAGGTTTGAGCACCTACTGTGTGTCCAGCTATTGTGCAGGGTTTTGGTAATTAGACCAAAGGTGGCAACCCTCAGGTTGTAGTCAGTCTAAGATATGGGTTATATTTGATCCACCTAATGTTCTAGTGTTTTAAATATTTTTAATAATGTATTTTATATTTCGTGTACTTAAAAAATTTTTATTTTAGAGAATGTGAGTGGGGGAGGGGCAGAGAAAAAGAGAATCCCAAGCAGGTTCCACACCCAATGCAGAGCCCAATGTAGGGCTAAATCCCACAACCTGAGATCATGACCTGAACCGAAATCAAGAGTCAGTTGCTTAATTGACTGAGCCACCCAGACGCCCCTCACTAATACATTTTAAAATGTAGGAGACTTCACATACAAAGATTGAGATTTCCTGTCTCTTTTGAAAAGATCTGGCAGCCCTGGATGTGCATTTCCATAATGCAGCAGTCGGTTGAAGATGAATCCGTATTGTCCTGTTTCATCTTCAGATCACCGCAGTCCCCACCACTCCCTATCTCCTGTCACACCAGGCCTGGTTCAGAGATTTACATGACCTCCCTGGGACCTAGAGGCACTTGCATTTACAACTCCAGATTGCTAGACTCTGTGCTTAATGAAGACAGGGGTTGTATCTGATTTGTTCCTCTCTAACAGACATATAAATGAGTAAAGGTATAGTCCCTGTGCTTGAGGAGTTTATAAGGAGGCAGTGTAAAAAACTGAGTACTTTTTTCCTTGTTCTCTAAGTAGTTAGAATTCTTGGGGCTTATGTTCTTGGAATGGCAGTGCTCAGCAAGAGGAAGAACAGAGTTAAAGGCTGGATTTACCTTCTATTCCATTTCCCTTCTCCGTTCGTCCAATCTACATGTCTCCCATCTCTCCAGTTCTGCCCAAGAAGCTGGAGATCAGATATGGAGGCCAAACAGCTGTCATGCACACTTGGTACATTTAAAGGCTTTGCAAAATTGCACACTCTCTATTCCAAGGAATTCTCTTTGTAGTCAACTTAGGTGGTCTCTGGTGCTCAAGACCACAGAAGCTTTTCTGTTTTTTTCCCTTCTAAACAGTGGTTGTCAGTTTGTGGTGAAAAGCAAGATTATTGCAGATCCTCCATGTTGTAAATGATTTCATAACTATGCTGGCAGTTTTCAAGGCTCTGCTTTAGTCATTTTCCCTCGGGACTGATTCAGCCAAATCAATGAGTGAGATTAACTTTAGAAATCTTCTTGGAAGCACGTGCACTGTCTTGCACATTTACCTGCTTCTTTGGGCCTTAGAAATGTTGTATCAAGAAAGAGATAGATGACCATGGAGGAGGGCACTTTGGGGATGAGCACTGAGTGTTATGTAGAAACTAATTTGACAATAAACTATTTGTAAAAAAAAAAAAAAGAAAGAGATAGATGACTAATGAGGAATTTCCCCGGTCCTCAGCTGGGAAGGGTGGTGGAGTGAGGACGTCCTGAATGAAGAATGCTCTCCAAGAAAAACAGTTCATCAGCAAACATCGATTAAGCTGTTACTCTGTGCCAGGCACTGTGCTAACTCCTTTACATTCATTCTTTCATTTACTCTGTGCCTTACTCAGCCTTATGAAATAGGTACTATTCTTATCTCTGTCTTACAGATAAGGAAACTGAGGCTCAAATAATTTAGGGAAGGTGTGTAAGACATGTAGATGAACAGTATCCAAGCCATGGCTTAAATGGAGACTTGCCTATCTTCAAAACCCAAGTACTTAACCTATCTTGTCCCATCTTCCATGCATGAAGGACTTAGTTTGCCAGCTAGAACTTTGGATCACAAACATGAGTTTTCTAGCTACATCAGAACTGCCTGAGCCTTTCAAAACCATAGCAACTATGGGACGCCTGGGTGGCTCAGTTGGTTAAGTGTCCAACTTCAGCTCAGGTCATGATCTCACCATTCCTGAGTTCGAGACCCACGTCAGGCTTTGTGCAAAAGGCTCAGAGCCTGGAGCCTGCTTCAGATTCTGTGTCTCCCTCTCTCTCTGCCCCTCCCCTGCTTGTTCTCTCTCTCTCTCTCTCCAAAGTAAATAAATAAGCATTGGAAAAAACCCACAGCAACTACAACAATAACTATAATAATCATAAGAACAGAAACAATAGCAGCCCCAACATGTTTTCTTGTGCCCCAGTCCTTGAGACTAACTGGATAGTTCTGATGTGGAGACTGACAATCTGTATTTCTAACAATCTTTCTGGATTCCAAGGGTGTACTTCCAAGGTTGGAACCCACAACCACAAAAACTCCTTGAAGTCAGGGTCTACTCACTTTGTACCCACCTTTCAGTGCTGTGTATTCCGTAGATGCTTACTAAGCAAAGAACATGTAAATAAGTCAGCTCTACTGCTAGAGAGATCTTCTGTTATTTCTGTAAGCACTTTCTTTCTAGACTGTTTCTTTATGCCCTATTTAATTCTAACATCAGTGGTTCTCTCTGTTGGGTGGGTCCACACCCAGTTTTGGAGAGGCAGAAAGTCAAGCAGCTGGTGTCAGTGGAGACAGCAGATGCATTCTTAGTTGAGTTTCTGACATCACTTCACCTATTGGGCATTTAGAAGAGATCCGGCTTAGGTTTGCTGAGGCAGATTGGCTACTCCCTGCAGCTGGCTTTGCATGAAGACACTGTGGCACGGGAATAAAGAACCCTGGGGCTGTGGAATAAGATGAAGTTCATCTGGCTCCTTGGCAGCCCCGCTGACAAGCAGCCTGTGCACAAGCATGGAGTGATCCTTGTACACACCTGTGTCCAACATAATTAGGAAACACTAAACCTCAGAGAGGTGTTCAGGCTACTATAAGCAGAAACCTCGTTAGAGCTCGCTTATCTGACATCTTTTGTGTTGTCTTCACTTTACCCTTGCCGACGCAGACAGCATCCTCATAAATTAGTCACTGGGACTGAGGGTGGACAGACGAAGGTGATCTAACATGGACTTCCTTCCTAGAGTGTGACTGGAGTTGCAATGCATGCTCTGGGCCTCTGAGGACAGACTGCCTGCAGTGCATGGATGGCTACGTTCTCCAGGACGGGACCTGCGTGGAGCAGTGCTCGCCATCCTTCTACAGGGACGTGGGCCTCTGCAGGAGTAAGTGTCTGGAGCCCCTTCTCTGTGCTCAGCCATGCTTCAGCCTCCTCCCATTTTTACTCTTCTGACAAGCAGTCTGTAGCAAGTTTCCTTTCAGGCTTTTAATTTAATTTCTGGTTTCTTTCCTAAGAGCTTTTCTCTGTTATATGCTCCCTCTCTCCTTCCCCCACACCCAAACATGATATTTGCTAAAATTTGAGGTCAGTATGGGAATCTTGAGAGTATATGGCCACACAAACAGGTATGAGGTTTGGATTTCCTGAAACATTGCACCTCTAGATGCAGAGGTGTGCGTACTCTGGTCATTTGAGCATTTGGAAGGGACTGTGCTCACAAACCGGCCTCTCGTAACCCTGATGTCTTACCACCACCTTCCTCTGGACCCTGCCCCCTTCAGCCTTAAATTAACACCACAAAATCTTCCAACCCTGAGCTGCCACCGCAAAGCACAGATGGCACTGGTGGGATCATTCTTGGGAGACTCTGATAATTGACTGGTGAGTCAGGAAAGATGGACACTTCAGCAAAGCCAGAAAGCCATGGACTAGTTAATAATGATAATGGCTAGTATGAGCAGCTTCTAAGTTTGCCCAGTATTTTCCATTATTTACTTTGGTCTTCGGCCAGTGAACTGGGTAGGACAATATGTCCACTTCCATTTTATAGGAGAGAGCATTGAGGCTCAGAGAAGTGTAACCTCTGATCCTAAATCATCCCCCTGGTAAGTAGAGCAGTAACAACCAGAAGCCTGGCTCCTAACTCCTCATTTTCTGCTTCGTCAGACACACTGGGTTGTCTTACTGTTCAGCATCTAATGCTGCCTTCCCACAAGGGCCAGGAGCCCATGGAAAGCCATACACAATTTTGTTGATTTAACTTTTGTCCTTCAGGCTGCAGCAATCACTGTCTCCAGTGCCAAGGGCCCCATGAATGCACTCGCTGTGAGGAACCATTTCTCCTGTTGGATGCCCAGTGTGTCCAGGAATGTGGGAAGGGGTACTTTGCAGACCATGCCAATCGCCAATGTGCAGGTAACTTGGAGACTGTGCTCAGTTCTCTGGAGAAAAGTGAGGGCTGCAAGTAAATCAGGTGCACTGATTCTTAGGTAACCAAGGACAATCTGAATTAGAAGCAGAATGAAAACCCTGGGAGCTGGGCCTAAGTAATTGATGGCTTCCCATACACATCTACCAATTGATGGTTAACTTGAATATAGAAGTGCAGGCCAATAATTCTCTTGCACAAATCAATATTGTCCCTAAAGGTCTTTATGGAAATGAAGTCAATATTTTATGGAATGTAAGGCTTATATTGAACTAAGGTGAGGTATCCATTACGAGTGGATCACTCTATTGATACGGACACCGAATCTTCAGTGCATAGACTGAATTACCGGTGACCCTGATATTGGCACAATACCCTTGAAGAATAGGATTTCTGAGGACAATTTAGTGAGACACACTGAACCTTTTTATTAAACTAAAGTTAAACCCAAAGTCTTAGTCTCCTCATCCATTGAGCTGTCCATGAGAGTTTCCTGTTTGTTTTCATCATTTTCTTTAAAACTTGGTATCATATGCTCCACTTTGAAGAATACCTGACATGTAACAATGAAGCCATTCCCCTGGCATGGCATTTTACATTTCACCAGATTCCTCCATCTGCATGAGCTCGTTTTAATATCCACAATGACTAGGTGGTAAAATATGGCAAACACTATGAATCCTGTTTTATAAGTGAAAAAAGAGAGAATGGCTTAAGAATATTAACCAAGGCAACATAAAATCAGATGCCAATCCAAGCTTCTTTAAACTATACTATACCACCTCTCTATAATAAAATCTCAACTAAGGAAGTAGAAAAATTTGGGAGTAAGCCCTCGATTTGTAGATTATTAACTTGATCCAAGGAAATAATCGAATGGTCCTTTAAAGAGCTTCTTCTCCCCATGCATTTAAAAATAGTAATAACTTATTTACTATTAAAATGAGAGCAAATTGTTGTACAACAAGAGTAACTATTACAACAACTCTTATTCACAAGAACAACAGCAACAACAACAATAATAGTAGAATAGCAGTGGTATTAGTATAGCTGAGTCCTTTTGTGTGCTAGGCACCCAAAAGCCTAGTCTCTTCCCATTATAAAACATGTAATCCTCGCAAAAGTTATTTGCATTGGATGCTATTACTGTTCCTATTTTTAGAGGAGAAAATCACACCACAGAGGGTTAAAGGAACTTGCCCCAAGTGGACAGGTATGGAACGCAGCAAGGGCCTATGCTCTTAGTCACTATGAACCACCTCCCTTACAAGTCAATATGGTCAAATTTTTAAAAAATCCGTTTACTTGCAACATTTTCACATCACAGTGCATAAAGCGAAAGTACTTTCCTTCTGAGGGTAGATCAGCTCCTTGTGTGATTCTAGAGGAGATTGTTGGAATTCCTTTCTGCTGCAATTGGGAGTCATGTGCTGTTGCTCTTTATTTCTCTGTCACTGGTGGCCCTAGCTGGGTGCCTGTGCATTTTGTGTGCCTCACTTAGTGTGTCATTTCTTTGACAGCCTGCCCTCGAGCATGCTTGCAGTGCAGCAGCATGGACCAGTGTCACCTCTGTGACCATGGGTTCTTTTTGAAGAGTGGCCTTTGTGTTTCCAAATGCATTCCTGGCTTCTCTGCCCACTCTAATGAATGTGCTGGTAAGTGCTTCTCATCAGATGGTCTGGTGTGTTAACCTATCATTACTGTATGCATAGGCTTAGTCTGTAGATACAATTGGCTAGTGTGATATAAAATATAGGATTCTATTTGTATGGCTGGGTGGCTCAGTAGGTTAAGTGTCCAACTTCAGCTCAGGTCATGATCTTGTATCTCTGAGTTTGAGACTCACATCAGCCTTTGTGCTGACAGCTCAGAGCCTGGAGACTGCTTCAGATTCTGTGTCTCCCTCCCTCTCCACCCCTTCCTTACTCGTGCTCTCTCTCTCTCTCAAAAATAAACATTAAAAATTTTTAAAATACAGTATTCTCATTCTGGGAATGCTAAGAAACAAGGGGCTGTCTATAGGACATGGACATTGGGGAAATTAAACTTCTAAGATCTTTGGGAAAAAGAAATAGTCTATGCCATCAAAGTACCAACTATCAGATTGGAAATTTGGCAGAAAACTTAGTTATGTTTCTGAACTACAGCTATGTCATAGAAAATTACATATATACATATAGATATGATTTGTTTGTATATCTATAAACTTGTAAAGCTAATTATGCCTCAGTTCAATGATACCTCCTCTGCGGACACACTGTGATTAATTACAAATAAATAATGAATAGTGTGAGGAGCCTGCCCTAGTGGGCTTTTTTTTTTTTTTTTTTTTTAAGCAAATAAATTTCAAGTCAGTTTCCCCTTGAGAATAAGTTGACATATTGGGATGTCTGGTGGCTCAGTCCGTTAAGTGTCTGACTCTTGGTTTCAGCTCAGCTCAGGTCATGATCTTGTGGTTACATGGGTTCTGGCCCCATGTCAGCCTCTGTGCTGACAGTATGGAGCCTTCTTGGGATTCTCTCTCTCCCTATCTCTCTGTCCCTCCCCTGATCACACTGTCTCTGTCTCTCTCAAATAAATAAACTTAAAAAAAAGGTGACATATTAAAGGAGTCCAACACATCAGTGGAGCTAGTCTTGTCCAACACATCAATGGATACTTTGCCTTACAACAAAAGAGAAGCAAATTTAAGTTTAGTCTAATCTGGAGCCCCAAAGTTTTATAGATAAATGCGGTTTGAGAATTATATTGTAGTTGAGCATTCCCCCGGCTTTTGAGTGTCCTTCATCAATAACCTAAAGCATATTTTAATACCCCTCATCAGTCATATTTTCCGTCTCTAAATATCTGACCTCTAAAGAAACTAAGACTTCCCATGGGAAAAAGATATCTTTGGCTTATTTTATTGGGACCCTTCTGGAAGCCCCAAGTACTTGAGAGTCAGCCTACTCCTCTTGGGACATAGTACAAGTCAACTTGTGAAAACGAATTCCACTTTCATTAGAGTAATCTTACAGTAGAAGTAGTTCCCTTGAAACTTGCAATTCCCAAACTGTCCTGTCTGACCTACTTGCAGAAGGAAACACTAACAATTAAAGTCCAGGCAAAACAGCTTGCAAGAGACAGGATGCAATTCTCATCATGATCGGATATTCATCTATCAGATGTTTCCTGTGGACAAAGATGGGAAAATTTTAAAACGAAGTGTATATACTTTGCATGAATTCTGAATATAAGCCACTTATAATCATACTTCATTATAGATTAACTGGTACTGTTCTAGCAAATGGTATCAGACACTTGTTTCTTTTCTTATCATTAAAGGGTCTAATGGTCAGATGGGATGAGTGAATTAGGTTAGAATTATGGCTCTCAAACCTGGAAGTCCATTAGGATGGCCTGGGGAACCTGTAAAATCACTGAGATTCCCACCCCAGAACATCTAAGTCAGAGTCTGATGGTAGAGCCAAGCATCGGTACTATTTTAAAAGATCCCTGTATGATTCTTTACTGTTATTATTGAGATTAATCCACATACCATAGAATTTATCCTTTAAAGTATAAAAGTCAGTGGTCTTTTAGTATATGCACAAAGGTATAAAGCCATCCCCACTATCTAATTCCAGGACATTTTATTCATCCTAAAAAGAAATCCAATAACTGTTAACAGTCTCAAGTGCTCCCTTGCCCTAGTCCCTGGCAGCCATTGATCTACTTTCTGTTTCTGTGGATTTAACTATTCTAGACATTTCACATAAATGGAATCATACAGTATGTGGCTTTTTATGTCAGGCTTTTTTCACTTGGCAATAATATTTTCAAGTTTCCTCTATATTGGAAAATGTATCAGTACATCATTCCTTTTTATGATTTAATAATATTCCATTGTATGGATATACCACAATTTGTTTATTCATTTACCAATTGATGGACATTTGGGTTCTTTCCACTTTGGGGCTGTTATGTATAACACTGCTATGAACATTCAGGTAGAAGTCTGTGTGGACGTATGTGTTCAGTTCTCTTGAGTGTATGAGTAGAATTACTGGTGAGGAACTGCCAAACTATACCATTTTACATTCCTCCCAGCAGTGTATGAGATTTTCAATTTCTCCACATCCTCAGGAACACTTTTTATTGTCCTCTATAGTGGGTATGAAGTGGTGTCACATTGTGGTTTTGATTTGCATTTTCCCGATGACTAATGAACGACATTGAGCACCTTTTTCATGTGTTTATTGGCCTTTTGTATATCTGCTTTGGAAAAATGGCTATTCAAATTCTTGGACTACTTTTAAATTGGGATACTTGTCCTTTATTGAGTTGTAAGATGTTTATATTTCAGATATATGTCCCTTTTCAGATATATAATTTGCAAACATTTCCTCCCATTTCATAGATTGTCTTTTTTACTTCCTCACTGGTATCCTTTGAAGCACTTTGGTGCTTTATCTCCTTTTTTCTTTTGTCACTTGTACTTTTTGTGTCATATCTAAGAAAGCATTGCCTAATTTAAGCTCACAAAGATTTTCTCCTATATTTTATAAGGTTTATATTTAACATTGAGATTCTATGCTATTTTCATATGTATCCTGGAGTGAGAACCACTGGATTAGAAGGAGGCTTATGGTGTACAATAGCCTAGAGTCTCATTTCTGAATGGACATTACAAATCTATTTTTTAAAAAACAAAAATTGGGGCGCCTAGGTGGCTCAGACGGTTGGACGTCCAATATTGGCTCAGGTCATGATCTCGTGGTTCATGAGTTGGAGTCCCATGTTGGGCTCTGTACTGACAGCTCAGAGTCTGGAGCCTGCTTCAGATTCTATATTTTCCTCTCTCTCTGCCCCTCCCCTGCTCAAACTCTCTCTCTCAAAAATAAACAAACATTAGAGGAAATTAAATAAATAAATACATAAATAAATATATAAATATATAAATAAATAAAACAAACCACCTATCAGTGAATGTACCAAGTCTGACCTTTGGGTTCATGTGTTTTCCAGGCAAAATACACACTCCTAGTCTTCATGTGAATGGCTCTCTCACCCTTGCAATTGGTTCCATGAGGCCACTGGATTTTGCCCTTCTGAATGTCCAAGATCAAGATGACAGGATCGAAGACCTCCAGTTCCATGTTGTGAGCACTCCCACCAATGGTCAGCTAGTGCTCTCAAGGAATGGAAAAGAGGTTCAGCTCGACAAGGCTGGCCATTTTAGCTGGAAAGACGTGAATGAGAAAAAAGTGCGTTTTGTGCACAGCAAAGAAAAACCCAGGTGACTCAGTGTTCTGTTGTTTTCCTCCCACATCCTTTCCATGGGTGCTTTGCGTCCCCGCCCCCGCTTCTCAATAGCTATCCCTTCTCTTCTGGGGAAGATCGATACTCCACAAACGCCAACGCTTTCAGCTGCCTGTCATCATTTCACTGTAATTGCTCAGAGAGTATGCCTCTGTTAGAGGCATTTTCATTTTATCACATAATTATGGGTAATTCTCTGATGTGACAGGAAAGTTCCTAGTGCAATTACCCAGTTTTTTGGCCCAGCAGAAACAAAACTGGTTATCTACCCAGATTGCCACAGCTGCTTCTTCAACATTAGGGTAATATACTGGGAGTGAGAAGTAGCTAGAAGATGAAGCACCTACTTTTCAAAGTGTTATATGGTTCCTAGAATTTCAGAGTTGAAAGGAAGCTAAGAGTTACAACTTTTTATTATCCACTTTATGGGATTAATTGTGGTTAATCTTTAAGCCTGATCTAGTTTTCCTCTGATTACTAGCACACTTCTGGCTGTCTTCCTCACCCCAGCTGACATATGCTTCAGGAATGCAATTGAATGTTAACAGTAACCCAAGCAAATAGAGTCATATAATTAGCAGAGTAAATCTGCTAAACAGAAATCAGAGAATGCACCCCAAAGATTAGCCTCGTGGATTATCCTTCACTCTGCTCTGCTTCATTAGTGCAGATGATTCAGAGTAGACTGTATATGTTAGCAATGGATTGAAATATTCACAGTGATAATTTTCTATTGTCACCACTAGAGATTTTTGTTTTTTTTATTTTAAGGTTGGGGTTAGGAGATAGGTGGGGAGAAAAGCAGGTGGCCCTCTCTCCATTGCAGTTCACAGCCAGAACCTCAGAAGACCATCTTAAAGGAATAAGAATAACTAATATTTACTGAGTGCTGACTTTGACCCAGGCATTGTGTTATACACTTCATGTGAAGTGTGTGTATTTATGTTCCCAGTCTACAGATAGGGAAACTGAGGCCTCAAGAGAATAAGCAAAGCCAAGTCTCCGATTAATAGCTAGTTCCCTTACTCTACAACCCCTGCCTTTGGCCACTGATTTCTGCCTCCTTAATAACACTAGGAATAATGGGCACCTTCCATCCTCACGGGGCAAAAGATCATTGTATAGAGAAGTACTGCTACAAAGGTGGGGCTTCAAACTCAAACTCAGGTGTCTGATGCCATAGAATCACTCTTCAGATTTACACACCATGTCCTGCATTCATTTTGCTTCAAGTGTAGTTCTTAATTGTTTGCATCACACACACACACACACACCTCTCCATACCTATAGTGCTTTACCTTAGAATCTCTTATGAAAAGTGAGTAAAGTTAATAAAGCTCCCCAGACAACCAAAGTCAACCTTCTTGTCTATTCTACCTCTTCAATCTCTCCATCACCTGTTTTCTTCCAGAGTCGGCTCTGCCACCCAAAATGGGACAAAGAATGGCAACTAGTTTCCAGGGAATTCTTGTAGCACCGTTTTTATTCTTGGTGCATCCATTTTACCATTGGATTTTCTTCATCTAAAAGTTTAAACAAAAGAAAGAATTAGAGCATAGTAAAACATAGCAATTCATGAAAAAAGGAAATTCTGTAAGTTGCGAAATGATACAAAAATAAAGGAGCAGCTTGCCACATAGGTTTATGATTTTGTTTTTTCCTCATAAAAATCTGACCATGATTCTTTAGGACTGGATTCCTTTGGGGTCAGAATGCTCCTATAGAGTACAAGACAACCTGCAAATATGACCATAGAGGCCATGGCAAGCCGGCATTCTGGGATGCTAAGCAGTTTTGGGGACCTCAGTGCTACCAAAAAGTCATTTTTCCCCGTGCGTTGGGACTAACCATACCTGCTTACTTCTTTCTGTTGCTTCCAGCATATGCTTTCTCTGAAAGTCTGGAGCTGGGAGTGAAGAGGGACAGGATTTAAATGGGACAAAAGTCAAGGGCAGAATGAAACAGGAAGGATGATAAGATTCACTTTTTTTAAAAAATCAAGTTTTTTGACATATAATTTGGATTTAACAAAATTCCCCATTTTAAAGTGTATTGTTCTGTGAGTCTCAACTAATGGATATAGTCTTGCAGTCTCAAGACTCCAATTGCAATCCAATATGAACAGTTTCATTGCCCCAACCCCAATCTCCATTTTACTGTTAACTCCCATCCTGCCAGTCCCTAGCAACCACTGATCTGTTTGTCACCCTTACCATTTTGCCTTTTCTGAAATGTCATGTGAATGGAGTCCTACAGTATATCATCTTTTGTTTCTGGGTTTTGCCATAATGCTTTTGAGATCCACCCAAATTATTTCATGTTTCAGTAGTTGATTCTAAGAATACCTTTTGAAGAACCTTTAAAATAAAGGTCCCTATAGTCGACCAGAATTCCAAACCTCCCATAGTGCATTAATCACATGTCTTACCAGCTACCATGAGTTCTGTGCTTGGTTTGGCTTTGAAAGTGGGCAACTCCTACCTTCCCTACCAGTTATCTCTGAAGCTGCTAGAACAACACTCTTATAGGAAGTAAAAACCACAGCAAAGAATCGGCCTTATTTTGTTTTATTAATTAGGACTCTTTGGTTGCAGGTAGTGAAAGTCAGCTTGAACTAGATTCAGCAAAATTGTAAGGCTTGTTATAACATTACAGGCATGGCTCAACTCTTTAACACATCAAGGGCAACTAGGCTTCCAAGTGAGCCTAGAAGCTACAACCAGGAATGGGAAGCAGGACTCAATTCTGCCTCTTGTCTCTGTGTCTCTTTGCTCCAAGAGCAAATTTATCTCTTAATTTATCTCTTCTGTACAGATAGGCTTGCTCCACATCTAATCTGGGTAGACTATGGTTTCTGCATAGTTAAATGGGGGCTCTCATGCCAGTTAAAAATTTCCAGGGAATAATCAGACATCTTTCCCTGGTCCCATCCACACTGAATGTTTATGTGTGTGGCTGGAGTGGGGGAGGCAGGTAGATAGAGTCAGGTAATACAAACATTGCAAAAGTGTTCATGCAGGCCCATTCAGATGATTTGAGAACAGGTTGGAGAGAGGGCCTGCAGGGAAGAGGGAATTATCGAGAGCTAATCAGGGACCATGATAGGTTCCTTTCCATTCTCCAACTTAACCATTAGCCACCATTATACTACTAGCCTGTCTTGGGCCAGCAACCAGATTTTCAACTATCTATATATCCATTTTAGAGACATCTAAAAAAAAGTTTATGTAATTATTATGTTATATTGAGATCAAAGAATATACAGTAAGTTTACCTATATGGTCCTATGTTCATCTTTATCTGGTTATTTTTACTTACAGTATGAAATAATATATCACTGTAGTGGTTTGATCCTAATTCTTATGGGTACATAAACTGAAAATACTTTTATTCTTTGTTTTGCCAGAGACTAATGACTGCATTTTCTCATTCCTTATTTGGGGACTTCTTTTAGGAAAGGTTACTTTTCCCTGAAAATTAGTGACCAGCAGTTCTTCTCTGAGCCACAACTGATCAACATACAAGCATTTTCAACACAGGTAATAACAATGCCACACAATTAATAATTGCATGTGCTTACTAATTCTGATGTACAAATCAAGACTTTGTGTAGTTTTAGCAAAAATGAGCTACATCAGTCTTGTTTCACTTTTCCCATGAAATAACACTGGAGTAACACTTAGTACCCATGGGTAAGAACAACAACAATAATAACTAACTGCTAATACTTCAGTAGTACTCTTTGTAGTGTTTTTCATTTAATCATAACAGCCCTGTGAGGTGTTATCATCTCTAACTTACTGATAGGAATCTAAAGTCACAGGGAGGTTAAGTAACTTGTCTATGGGAGTATAGTAAATAAACAAAGAGCCGAGATTTGTACCCAGAAAATCTGGTTGCCAAGTCTGTGTTCTTGACCACTACTTTATAGCACCTTACTTTACTATACTGAATCTGATACTAGCCCTTCAAAATAATTTGAAACTGTTCCAGTTGTTAAGACTTTCCTAATCTTAGTTAAATGAGTTTGTTTTGCCTAAATATTTCTGTCTCAGGGATATGAAATTATGTTTGGCTATTTTTGCCTTTCATGTAGCTGGAATGTATTTTAGTCCATTTGCAGTGGGTACAGCATCTTATTAAGGATCTACTTAAATGAGGTGCCAGTGTTGTCATCAGCCAAACAGAAGTCTGAGGGAATCATGGTAGATGCTATAAAACCCGGTGTGATGGCTCTTCTGTTCTCATCATTCATCTTCGTCAAGTGGTACTTTATGTGTCCAGAATACATGTAGTGGTGGATGGTCTGAGTAACTGAGCTTGAGGGATTGAACAGCTGAAATGTGCAGAGAGTAGAAAGATAGATATAGTCTTAAGTTGTGAACTACAACCAAGTATGATATCAACATGGGGGAACCAAGACTACTGCAAAATTCAGATCTCAGGAGAGTGTTAGTTGTGGTTCAAGGAAGGACATGAGATCATTGTTTTAAAACTGATGTATATATGTTTTAATTTTTGTCCCAAAAATGAAAAGACCATAGATTGTGGATGATAATAAACACAGCCCACACGTGGATCCCAAATGTTTTTCACAGACCAGCTCAGCATTTCTTGATGACATTCTTACTTCGGAGGTGACTGAAGTTGGGGAATGATTAGAAATTGATCCAAAGTTAATTTGACCTCACTGTTGGGCTAAGAGTATGAATTTTGTTTTAATTAAGACCAAAACATGTGATCTCGAAATATGGGCCAGTGGGCCACATCAGGACTGAGGACTGTCTGGCTTAGATGTGTCTCAGTACTTAAGCTCAGAAGTTTTGTTTTGTTCTTTTTGTTTGTGTTAATATAGTTACTTCTAATTAGGTGAATTAGAGAGTTAGGGTAGGTATTGGCAAGTGACTTTCCCATCTGAGATGGTGAGTTCCCCATGGTTCCCTGGTTTGTTTGTTTGTCTTCTCCAAATCAGGTGAATGGATAGTGACAGCATTTTTAAGTTTTATTTATTATATGAGAAACTGTTTTCATTTTAACTTTTTTAAGATGGAATTTTAGAAATGATTTTTAGCTTATTTTTGTTCCTCTACATTCCTGTGATATTTCAATATGGTCTTGAGCCTCCCTGAGATTTTCTCATGTAAGTTAATTTGATCTTTCCCATTTACGGATGTTGACATGACCTTTTGACCTCGCCTCTTTCAGAACCCAAAGGGCCATTCATTCCCACGTATGTAAAATCATAACTTCTGCATTCTCAGTGGGGAAGTCTGAGCAGTAGCTGTCATCTAGCTTCCTACTATGTGATTATTATAATGACGCCTTAGTTAGACATTACTTTAACAGATATTAAAATTTCCAGGAGGCCAGGAGGGATAGTTTTAAAAGGAGCCATTTGGATTAAAGAAGGCAATGTACTGAGAAAAGTCCTAGATGGTTCAACTTCAAACAATATAAAAAACTGAGACAATGTTTTCTTTGGCTTCTGGCCTTCATTTTTTTTGTTGTTGTTATTTCTTTCTGTTGTGGTTCATTAACTTTTATCTTTATGAAAGGATATTTTATTTGCTTACTCAAGTTGTTGAGGGGAAACCTGATAATCCTAAGAAAAACATACTAAAATTTGCCGTGTGAATTAACCAGGTGGTTGCCTTACTCAGACCGTGATCTTATCAGGCTTTGTAAACTGAGTTGGGATGGGCCCTTCAAGATATGGATGAGGTGGCTTTAAAAAACTACTAGCCAGGACAAGAAATTGCATGAACTCAGAATCAGAGGTATCTTACCCAAAGTCAACATACTGCAGTGTAGCCAGAGTGAAGTGCTCAACTCCCAACACAAGTGCAAAAATTCCATATCTCTTGCTGTTCTCTTTTGGAAGCAGACACCTGGTGGGGATCCCTGATGCTGGGCTGATCTCAGTTATAATGCAGGGGATATAGTATAAATCAAGATATCAGAGACTTCTAAGATTTGGAAGCAGGCAGCTCACCTCCATTGCCTCTGGTGAATACTATGGCCTTGAAGTGTCTCTGAGAAGCCTCCAGAACCCGAAGTGTTAAGTAATCTTACTTGCTCTAATAACTATGACTGACCACACCTCTGATAAATACTTTGACTATGCAACAGTTTGGCACTTGCTGAAGCATCAAGAGTTCCTTCAAAAGCATAGAAGTATCAGTCTGGTTGGGAAAAACTACACTAGTCCACTGGGTCCTCTCTTTTCCTGCTAAATGACTTCTTCTCCTCCTTCCCTTCAATTCCCAGGCCCCCTATGTGCTAAGAAATGAGGCCCTTCATATTAGCAGAGGAGAGAGAGGAACCATTACTACCCAGCTGCTTGACATCCGAGATGATGACAACCCACAGGATGTGGTGATCGAAGTGCTTGACCCTCCACTTCATGGCCGATTGCTCCAAACACTTCAATCCCCTGCAACCCCAATCTATCAGTTCCGGCTGGATGAACTCTCCAGGGGCCTTCTGCACTATGCTCATGATGGCTCCGATAGCGTATCTGATGTTGTGGTCTTGCAGGCCAATGATGGACATTCCTTCCCAAATATACTGTTCCATGTGAAGACCATGCCCAAGGTAGGTGTCATTCCTAGAGCTGAAATTTTCTTGCACCTAGGTGTGAAGTTTTGTTGATATTATTTTACAGTATTCATAAAGTCAAGATGTGGATAGTTATCTATTCAAACACTTATTAACCATCTATTATGGAAATAATTAGGACTTTCAAAGATTAATAGAACAGATTAGCAAATCTCAGGGAGCACTATATATCTTGCTGGGAGGATCCTTCTCTACACAGGGGAAACTTTTGTACTTATATTGACTTGCTGCCATAAAAAACACCTTGTCCACTGAACCTTTTGTCTCCTATCTGATCATAAGAATCAAGTACACCCCTGTCTTTATCTGCCTTTCTTCAACAGCTCATGCTATGTGAAGCTCATAGTCAGATTATTATAATGAATCTAAAAGGCTGAGTGTGCCATTCTGTTAACCCTTCTGGACTAGGATGAGGAAACTCTTTTAGTAATCATAGGAATCCTGTCAGTTTGAGTCATTCCCATGCCACATCCATATGTTTTTGTCATATCCATGAATGTCTTTTAGTTTATTTATATTGAGAGAGAAAATGTGAGTGAGGGGGGACCAGAGGGAGGGGGAGAGAAAGAATCCCAAGCAGGCTCCATGCAGTCAGTGTGGAGTCTGATGCAGGGCTCAAACACATGAACTGTGAGATTGTGACCTGAGGTGAACACTTAACCAACTGAACCTCCCAGGAAGCCCCCACAAACACCTTTTCTGTTATTTACTTAATATTTTTCTTTGTATTCACTTATTTTTTTATTGTGGCTTCTTCATAATAAACAATGAATATGAGATTATGGGTTTAATGTAGAATTATACTTTTTTCAAAAATATGAAATTAATACATAAACATTTTAAAAAATAATCATCCATGTAGTACATAGAATGTTCTTGGATACTATTAATGGGACGGCTACCACATTTTGGGAAATACTGGGCTAATCTATGCTAGATCCAGGGGACACTTTCAAAACCATTTATTATTTGGGGCGCCTGAGTGGCTCAGTCGGTTAAGCGTCCGACTTCGGCTCAGGTCATGATCTCACGGTTAGTGGGTTCGAGCCCCGCATCGGGCTCTGTGCTGACAGCTAGCTCAGAGCCTGGAGCCTGCTTCACATTCTGTGTCTCCCTCTCTCTCTGACCCTCCCCTGCTCACACTGTCTCTCTCTCTCTCTCAGAAATAAATAAAACATTAAAAAAAAAAACCATTTATTATTTGATGATATTTCACTAGGAGCTCTTTTCTATGTTATAGCAAAACTGGCTCTTTCCCATGGTGATAGATGGGAAGACTTATCATTTTTATTGAACTTTTCATTCCAAATATCAGTAGCCACTAAAGTGTCATTAATGATTAGCTGGGGAGATTGATTTGCTGAAGACAGTTTAGAAATGACTTGTCACTTTCTCACCGACGATCACTCAAAATTTGCGATGGATCCTTGTGAAGGTGAACAGCTGAATGTAACCTAGTATGCTGGCTAGTTTCTCAGGCTGTTGTCTCATGATTTGAAGCTGCTGTAAACAGTGATGGTGGTATGAGATAGATGGGTGCAAGTGAAGGCTGATTATGAGATAGAGTTGGCAGGTAGCCATCTCATAGCTAATCCTAATTATCACCCTCTTGCAATCGCCCTGGGACATGAGGTTTAGTTCTGAAGAGATGAAGTCTAGACAGACTCAGAAAGTATTTTTTTCTTCTTCCATGGTTTTCCTCCAAAGATTGTTACGGGATTTCAGCGCAACATTAGCAGCCGCCTTTCTTACAGTGCTTTCAGTCTCCATGTTTGGAGCTCGGTTCAGTGTATGGTGCTGTCATTTTGTATGCTATGGCCCAAGGTTGAAGGTATCGCTAGGATTTTAGCTGCTTTGACTACCAAAACAAAACAAAGAAAACGTAATTTTAATTTGTAAATAAGGCATAAGCACCGAACTCAAGTATCATTGTAGTGCTTATAACTTGGGGTTCATGTTGTATTTATAGGGTCTGTCCCTCCCCCTTCCTCCTGCCATCACTCTGTCACCTACAGTGTTGTGCTTACCTGCCCATTAGGTGAAATAATGGCTTCTGAGCCAATGAACTGGGATAATGAAACCAGTGACCAGAGTGCCAGCATCTATCAGGATGTACTAATAAGTTTGAAACTGTAATACTGATATTTTACAAATACATCCTATATTTCCTCTCAGGAATTCAAAGTACTTCTTCATATCCATTCTACTGATCCTTACAATATCTTAGTGAAGGAGGTTAGAACAGAGGCCATGTTATTCCCTCTAGAGGAAATTCTGTGGGTGGGAGGTATTTTTGTTTGTTTTGCTTCTAACCTTTATTGGGCACTAATGCTTGATATAAATTATTTCATTTGATATTCACGGTCCCTCAGGAGTATTTGTACAATTATTATCTCTAATTTTCCAGAAAAGGAAACTGGAAAAAAAAGTCTAAAAACATTTTTAACAGTTTAAAAATGTTTATTTTTCATAAAAGTGTTTAGTGCCAGGGTGCCTGGTTGGCTCAGTCGGTTAAATGGCTGACTTCTGCCCAGGTCATGATCTCATGGCTTGTGAGTTGCAGACCTTTGTCGGGCTCTGTGCTGACAACTTGGAGCCTGTAGCCTACTTCAGATTCTGTGCCTTCCTCTTTCTCTCTCTGCCCCTCCCCTGCTCCTGCTCTGTCTTTCTATCAACAATAAATAAACATTAGAAAAAAATTATTTAGTGCCAGAGCTGTAATTTCAACTCAAGTGTGTTCTGGCTCATCACATTTAATCCACATGGCTTTTTTCATTCTAGTCCGTAGTTTTCAATGTTTCAGTCATATATATTCTGATCCCCCTAATGGACAGAATGGAGACAGCAATTTTGTCATTTTCTCGATGTCCTATCCAAGCAATCTGGGAAGTAAGGTTCTTGGACTCTCCCCTATGGACTCACCACATCTTGTTACAAGTGAAGCTATTTATAATCGAAAGTCTACTGGAGCCCAAGAAGAAAAAAATTGCCTCAGCTGTTAATGGCTTCCAGGAGATATATAGTCAGACATGATTGATTTCATTCTGATAGCCATTTCTGAAGATGGGCATCCAAGTACTTATACCCTGAGACAGCCTGCGTATTAAATTTGGAGTCAGGCCAATTACTGGCTGATATCTAGCTGGTGGCTTAAGTGGAGTGGCTAAGGGGTTTAGATCTAATTCCTGGGGAATGGATGTACAAATTAATCCCAGTGTTGTTCAGTAGAAAACTTAACCTGGTAGTACAGATGGAAAAAGAGGGAAAAAGATAGAAAAAGCAAACTTTGTGGGAGCAGGAACTATTTTAGTTTTCCTCTCTTGAGCCAGGCACATCGTAGGAGTTAGTACATTTTTGTTGGATGGATAGTTAGGTGGGGGGATGTAATAGCTTGAGTGAGACTGGCTGTCATGTTCCTACCTCTGAATCCATCTCCTGTGTCAGATGTGAAGCCTTCGGGGCACCTCTGCTGATGTTAGATGGCCTATCTGGGACTAAGGGTAGGAGCTATCAGTTCCACTCTTGGTTCTCCAGTTCTACATCACTTCTCCAAACTTTTATCCTTGGCCTGGCAGTGAGGAAATTTGACTGCTACCCTCCAGGCTTACGGTGAGTTGGTGAGGAGAAAATAGACTCAGGACTGATGTTGAAACATGCTCTGCTGGGGGGAGGAGGCAAAAGAAATCAAAAAGATTAAAAGGTAATAAAGAATGCTTTGCTGAACAGGCTCTCATTAATTGGGCTACTTACCAAACCTGAGCCTGCTAGAGATATGCTTTTAAAGCGATTTGCTGTCTAATAAGGGCTAAAATATGAGCAGGGAAAAGTCCTGCTTTTTGATGGGTTTCTCTCCACTCTTGGGCTTTCAAGAAATTACTTTCTTTTCTTTAATGAAGGCATCCCTGGAAAGTCATGCCTCTTTTTCCACTTTGGCAATAAATCTGATGATCTTCCTGACCTCGTTTGTTGTTGTTTGAGCAATTTATTTTCTGCAACTGGGTAATGCTTTGATGTTAAAAGCCCCCAAGTATCAAGCTAGGAACTAGATGGAAAATTCTGTTGCTAAGAGTCCTCTTGGGCTGTTTGAACTTGGTAAGGCCCATGTGCAGCTAAAAGCCCTTGCTTTCCCTCAGTTTTCTTAAAGCTTGTCCCCCCAGTGGTTGTTTTGCAGAAATATTGTTTGATAATAAGGGTGCTTGTGACAATTATAAACATGACACAAAAATGGTAATTTTTTTGAATAAGAGTCTATCTAACGCATCAATAACTAAATCTCTACCATGCATCAGGGTTTCACCTTTTATGAACTTGCTTAACTTGATCATTGTTTTGGCATCTTGGAAGATGCATCGCTTAGAGTGTATGCCCCAAAAATGATTGTTGATTACAAAATTTTGTTTCTTCATAAAGTAGTTGAAATCTACATGGAGAAAAGGTTCTATATTCTTGACCCAAAGCAACAGAGTTTCTGAGGAGCATACACACTGGCAAACACAAAAACAGACCAATTATCTTTCCATCCTTGACCTGGTAAATAGCATTTAAGATTCACCTTCAATGCACCATCGTATGTGATCCTGCCCCAAAATCCACAATATCCTATAAGATTGCAAATTAAGGCATAGTTTTACAGAATAAATTAGATGTTAGGATTGCTGTTAAATCCACTTACTGTCATTTTCTATTTGATTAAGTTTAAAAATCTTTTTGTTTTGGGGCGCCTGGGTGGCTTAGTCGGTTGGGCGTCCGACTTTCGCTTAGGTCATGATCTCGCAGTTCGTGGGTTCGAGCCCCGCATCGGGCTCTGTGCTGACTGCCAGCTCATAGCCTGGAGGCTGTTTCAGTCTGTGACTCCCTCTCTTTCTGACCCTCTCCTGTTCACGCTGTCTCTCTCTCCTAGAAATAAATAAAACATTAAAAAAAAAAAATTTTTAAAAAAATAAAATAAAATAAAAATCTTTTTGTTTGAATAGTTTGGCCAGGGGTTGGGGTATACTATCATTTGAGATCATTACTTATGTCCTAACATTTATTTTAGGGAGGGAAGTTTTAATTTTATTTGTGAGATTTTTCCTCCTAATGATAGAAGCTTAGGCCCTTACTTCTGGTTTACAACATTAGTATTTTTATTTACAATATAATATATAATGGCTAAACTTTATTGCCAGTATTTCTATATGCCCATTGTTCTATGAAATGAATTAGAATTATTTAATTTAAATCACTGTTTTGACTGTGTCCCCATAATCCCTTTTTGGGATTTCATTGCTTTCTAACATGGTACCTTGAAGGACATATAAAACTTCACTAGGCAGGAGATTATTCAACTCATGATTACTTCCTTGAGTTCACAGGAATATATGCATCATTGTGCAGAAAAAAAAAAAAAAACCAACTACAAGCAGATAAAGAAACTGCAAAATGACAGAATCATGGGGAAATGAGGTTAAAATTTGTTTGGCTTTTCTGACCACTTAAGCTGTAGAAAAGATGGTGTATAGCCTTTTATTCATCTCTTCTTGAATCTTCCCTGGACTCTCTCCCAGAAGAAAGGAACTGATAAAACCATCTTCATCAAAATGAGCGGAAAGAATTATACTTCTTTCCCTTAGACAGTTGTCTGTTTCTTAAGTGTTGTAAACAAATAATTCAGAAACAGAGGCATGTATATTATCTGGTTGTAAATATAAATATTATAAAAGGCCTGTCTGTGGGGTTTTAAGAGAACCACTCTAGACCCATCACTATTTCTATCCTGGGCTATGCTTCTCCTGCTTTAACATGACTCCACATCCCCTGGAGATTGTGCTTAAATACAAGCGGAAATTCATCAAACTAAAAAGCCACACAGCAAAGCAAACAATCTAAAGAATAAAAAGGCAGGCTACTGAAGGGGAGAAAGTGTTTGAAACCATATATCTGATAAGGGATTAATATTTAAAATATATAAAGAACTCTACCAGCTCAATAGCATCCTCCTCCTCATCATCATCATCCTCATCATCATCATCATGCTCCAATTAAACAGTGGGCTAAGGATCTGCATAGACCTTTCTCAAAGGAAGACATACAATGGCCAAAGGTACATGAAAAGATGCTCAACATCACTGATCATCAGGGAAATGCAAATCAAAACCACAATGATGGATGCCTGAGTGCCTCAGTTGGTTAAGCATCCAGCTCCTGTTTTTGGCTCAGGTCATGATCTCACCGTTCATGAGATCGATCCCTGTGTGGGGCTCTGCACTGACAGCTTGGAGCCTGCTTGGGATTCTCTCTTTCTCTCTCTCTCTGCCCCTCCCTTGCTTGGATGCATTTTCTCTCTCTCTCTCTCTTAATGAATAAATAAACATTGAAAAAAATAACAATGAGATATCACCTCACACCTGTTAGAATGGCTAAAATTAAAAAAAAAAGACAAAAGATAACAAGTATTGGTGAGGGTATTGGGAAAAGGGAACCCATTGCATCGGTGGGAATGTAAGTTGGTGGAGCCATTCTGGAAAACAATATGGAAGTTCCTCAGAAATTAAAAACAGAACTACCATATGGATGCAGCAACTTCACTTCTGGGTATTAGGAGGAATTTAACTGAGGACCATGGGGGAGAAGAAAGGGGGAAATGGTGGGGGAGGGGGAGAGAGGCAAACCATGAGAGACTCTTGAATGCTGAGAAACAAACTGAGGACTGATGGATGTGGGGGGAGGGGGGAGATGGGCATGGAGGAGGGCACCTGTGGGGATGAGCACTGGGTGTTATATGGAAACCAATTTGACAATAAATTATTTGTAAAAAAAATAAATAAAAAAATAAAAAAATAAAGTTACATAAAAAAATATATATATATCCAAAGGAAATGAAATCTTTATCTCAGAGATATATGTACTCACATATTTATTGCATTCACAGTAGTCAAAGTATGGAAACAGCCTAAGTGCCTGTTGATAGATAAATGGATAGAGAAAATGTTTCTATATATACAATGGAATATTATATACCCTTATGGAAGAAGGAAATCCTGCCATTTGTGACAACACAGGTGAACTTGAAGAACATTATGCTAAGTAAAATAAGCCAGACACAAAAAGAAAAATTCTGCATGATCTCACTTATATTTGGAATCTAAAAAAGTTTAACTCATAAAAGCAGAGTACAATGGTGATTGCCAGGGGTGGGGTAAAAGAAATGGGGAGGTGTTAGTCAAGGGATATAGAGGTTCAGTTACAAGGGATGAATAAATTCTAGAGATTGAGTGTATAGCATGGTGGCTATACTAATAAAGCTGTATCATATACTTAAAATTTGCTTGAAACTTGTTTTTAACACACACATACAGAAGTTTAGTTATGTGAGCTGGTAGATTTCTTAATTAGCTTGATTGTTATAATCATTCACAATGTATATGTATATCAAAATATCATGCTATGTAACTTAACTATATCAACTTTTGTTTATCAAGTAATATACTTCAATAAAGCTGATGAAAAAAACCACTAAAATGTAGTTCTAATTCAGAAAGTCTGAGGTGGGGTCTGAGATTCTAAACTTCTAATAAGTTTCCAGATGTTGCTGGTATCTGAATACTGACTTAAAGAAATACTGTCTCCTAAAAATTTATACTCACATAGGAAATACAGGGAATTATATCGGTGAAGTTTAGCCAAGATAAGAATGTAGTGGGAGAGAAACCTGGGGACAAGTCACAGTACTTACTTCCTTGGAATATGAAAAACCCCATTGCCTCATCAGTCCAAGAATGTGGTTCCTGCTGTATGACTGATCTCTGTAACCATGATAAAACTTGACGCAGCTGCTGCTATTAGAAAGATTGCTAGCAATTAAGACACCTGGGTCTAAGTGTATTATGTTATATGAAACACTGCTGGATTTAATAGGGCCTTTCCCCCTAGAATTCTAGGGGGAAAGGAATTCTTGGCACCTTTTGATGTTTCTGTAAATAATATGCTATATAAGTTGTGAAGGGAGAAAATTCTTGGGAGTTTGCTCTTGAGCACCAATCACAATAGAGGTACCTTTACTGCTGTTCTTTTGGGCACTGTTTGACTCAGTTCCCTGGTGAGTGTAGTGAAAATAGCTATGACTGCCTCTTGTGGGGGCCAAATACTGTCGTGTCAGGTGCATAGGAATATGTGTTATCTTCTGCTCTGAATATTCCCCTCCTGGGAATAGTGTTTGTTCTGTTTATTCACATATTTGAAAGTAACAGCAATAATTTATAAAAACATCCCCTTTGAAATGCTTGATTTTAAAATATCAGATTTACTGATTTTTAAAAGTATGAAAACTGAACACAGGAAGCCTCACTAATCTCATTCTGTGCTAAATGTCAGTTATGAGGCTTTGGAAGAGGTGCACACCTTGCAAATCAGGAATGGCAGCACTTTTTAATCACATTAGCTTTAGCAATTAAAATGGTTGCCTTCTCAGGAGTGCTAAATAGGTGATTTCTTCCAGTCAGCGATTCCCAACTGTTGTTTCTAAGGCTTCACTTCCAATTAGTCATCAAGGCGTCAATTTGGCCTCTAGTGTTTCTGGAAACTGTTTCTAACTCTCCATTCCCACTGCAATGACTTTTTCATCTTCTCTCATCTGAGCCATTACAAGAATTTGTTAAATGGTTTCTACAGCCCAGACATATCCCATTTCTTAGCCCCTTCCATCTCTTGCTGATGGAAGCTTTCTAAACCCCAGAGCTGCCCATCCCCTTTCCTTCCCTGAAGACACATGTTGACTTTAAAAGCCATACATGATAAATGGAGACTTTGAGTGCAGCTTCTCCCTTTTACCTGAGAGTGTCCCTTTTGATTCACCTGCTCCCCTGGCTCCATAAACTCTTCTTGCCCAGACACTTGGGTATTTTATGAAGCATGCAGTGCATTGTCTCACGTCTTGCCTCAGCTGGGCCCTCTGCATAGAATTCATTTCACCTCTCTCTCTTAGAAGACCCATCTTTTGGTCATTTGAGAATTAAATGATATTTCCATAGGAAAGCTTTCCTGAGCATTCTGTTCTCAAAGAGGAAACCTCCTTTTCCCTTTATTCTCCCACAGCACCCTGTTCAAACTTCTAATAGTGTGTCATTTGTGATGTGTCCTGATTATTTGTCTATGCGGAGATCACTAGAGTGTAAGTTCTGAGATCTAAGTCTTGTTTCAGCCATCCTTACTACCTCCAGCCTCTAGCAAAAGAGCCGCCATATAATAGGTGCTTAATGAATAGTCCTTGAATGTGGGTGGATGTGGAGAATAGAAGAAGAACAGTTATGTGGACAAAATAAAGAAGGGTGCCTGGGTGGCTCAGTCAGTTAAACGTCTGATTCTTGGTTTGGGCTCAGGTTATGATCTACAGTTCATCTCTTTAAGCCCTGCATCGGGCTCCATGCTGGTGATGCAGCACCTGCTTGGTATTCTCTGTCTCCTTCTCTTTCTACCCCTCTCCCACTCATGCTGTCTCTGTTTCTCTCAAATAAATAAACTTAAAAAAAAAAGAAATGAAGAGACATGGTCTTCCTGAATGAAATAAGTTCTTTGCATATGACAAATTAAAAGAAAAAGCAGGATATGTACAAATGTACATACACATGCATGTATCTACACATAATACACATACATAGATCATAGTGTGACTCCAAAGCTATGAATCTCTCTTATTAGATGATTGCTAGCAGAAATGGTACCTGATGACTTATGTTCTTAAGGGCTGATGTTTTTTTTTATTTTTCTTGTACCTAATTCTGTACTTTTTTCTTATTCTAGAATGATGGAGGTCTTCGTCTTGTGGCCAATTCAATGGTGTGGGTTCCAGAAGGCGGGATGCTGCAGATTACCAATAGAATCTTACAGGCGGAAGCTCCAGGTGCAAGTGCCTCAGAAATCATCTACAAAATTACACAGGAGCTCCCCCAATTTGGTAACTTTTTTCCTTTGCCATGATTTCATCATTGTATCCAGCAGTCTTAGACTTGCTTTTGTACAAGGCCACAGCAGCAAGCTTATGATGCCAATGAAATTGAATTTCTAATACCTCACACATCTCATTTAAACAGAATAGTCAATGGGGTGACTGGGTGGCTCAGTCAGTTTAGCGTCCATCTTCAGCTCAGGCCATGATCTCTGTGAGTTCAAGTGCTCTGTTGGGCTCTGTGATGACAGCTCAGAGCCTGGAGCCTGCTTCAGATTCTGTGTCTCCTTTGCTCCCTGCCCATCCCCCACCCATGCTCTGTCTCTCTCTCTCTCTCTTTTTTTTTTTTTTTAAATGTTTTATTTTTATTTCTAGGAGAGAGAGAGACAGCGTGAGCAGGGGAGAGTCAGAGAGAGAGGGAGTCACAGACTGAAACAGGCTCCAGGCTCTGAGCTACCTGTCAGCACAGAGCCCGATGCGGGGCTCGAACCCACGAACCGCGAGATCATGACCTAAGCGAAAGTCGGACGCTTAACCGACTAAGCCACCCAGGCGTCCCCCTCTTTCTCTCTCTTAAAAAGAATTAAAAATTAAAAAAAAATTTAAACAGAATAGTCACAAAACTGTCATACTATACATACTTTATGTATCAGGTAGTATGCTAAGTAATATAAACATATTAGTGTATATGAAATCGAAAATTTAAGTCTTAAAATAATTTTATAGAGAAAGTAACTTGCTAAAGTATAGTTTATATAAGCATGTATAGCTAATTATGTCAGTTTAATTTTGAAGCTAAGGCTCTTAAACTCCACCTTATGTCCCTTCCAGAACATCACCAGACTTCTTGTTAAGACTTAAAAAGAAAAAAAAAGCTTTACATAAAAACATTTCTAACGATCTTCATTGTTATTGCCACTTCCAGAAAGATAGTACAGTATGATAATCTGAAAAATTTCCCATCATCATCATTATCATCATTATCATCTAGAAATGCTGGATAAAAAGATAAGAGTTATAGGGCAGTGGTGCCTCGGTGGCTCAGTTGAATGTCCAACTCTTGATTTCAGCTCATATCATGATCTCACAGGTTCATGAGGTTGAGCCTGGTGTTGGGTTCTGTACTGTCCAGGATTCATTCTTTCTCTCTCTCTCTCTGCCCCTCCCCACTCATGGATGCACACACATGCTACTCTATTCTCTTAAAACAAATAAACATTTAAAAAAGAAGAAGAAGGAGAAGAATTATAGGGCACTTATGCCTAACTTTTCAAGAATAGAAAGATGTCTCCAAGTAACAAACAGAAAAGGAACTTAAAGCCAGTCAAGCTTGAGCTGCTGGAATAGCTTCCCTCAGAGTGGTTGTGTGTGTTCCAGTAACCCAGGGGCTTGAGATATAATGCTCGTGCAAGGACAGTAAGTTAAGATCCTGCCTAAAACTAGGACTTTAGAAAGACTTGACTTAAAGAGACAGAAGAGAAACCAAGAAGTGCACAAACACAGAGAGATGGCAAAGAAACCCACCTGTGTTTCCCAGGGCTCAGAGTGAAGTAAAAATGTCTGCAGAGAAAGCAGAACTTCAGGCCTGTTTCTCCTACCGATCCAGAGTTAAGTTACACTGTGTGTGTTATCTGAGAAACCCCAGAACTAAGATGTTCATATGAATATTAATCTCTGACCAATGATACCTCTTGGGTTCCTTGCAGAAACTAGTAGGCACTGCTGTGGAATGTCCACCCTCAACTCCAGATCACGAGATTCTCACACTGAAGATTAGCTCAGAATTCAAAATTATACAACAGATGAGGAAATAATCGATAGTATCTTCAGAAAAATGAACAAAATGGTTAAAACTCCAAGGATTTCATGAAAGAGCAATCATAAAAACTATGAAACAAGGGACACCTGGGTGGCTCAGTTGGTTAAGCATCTGACTCTTGGTTTTGGTTCAAGGCATAGTCTCACGCTTCATGGGTTTGAGCTCCACATTGGGCTCTGTGCTGACATTGCAGAGCCTGCTTAGGGTTCTTTCTCTTCCTTTCTCTCTGCCCCACCCTTTGCACCCTTTCCCTCAAGAAAGTAAATAAATACACTTAAAAAAACAATTAAACAAGCGTATTTTAAATGATTTAAAGATAAAAAGAAGAGTCAAAACTTTAAGGAAATAACCAAATATCATAAAAATAAAAGAATAGGCAGGTAAATATTTTTAAAATGTTTATTTATTTATTTTTGAGAGAGAGAAAGCGAGTGCTAGAGAGGAGGGGCAGAGAAAGAGGAGACAGAGGATCTGAAGCTGATAGCAGTGTGCCCGATGCCAAGAGCCATGAGGTCATGACCTGAGCAGAAGTCAGCTGCTTAAGTGACTGAGCCACCCAGGCACCTCATAGGCAGGTAGATTTTTAAAAAGAACTAAATAGATCACCTAAAAATGAAAATGGTATTCATTAAAAGTAAAAACCTTCTTGGCATGTCAAATAGCAGAGGAATAATAATCTCTTTTTCCTTGGGTTACTGGATTTTAAAAATTAATATTTTCTGTAGTGGGGAGAAAATTAACTTTTGTGGAATTCAAAAATAATTCAAATGTCAACAAAGACATTGAAAAACTTGCTTTAATCAAGAATTGATATAATTAGGAAATAGTTGGTCTAGCTGGAGTGTCTTTTATTATAGCTGTATAACATTGAGGAAGGCAAGTAGACCCTTTTGAGACTTAGGTTCTTTAAAAGGTTAGGCTAGATAATTTTTTATCTTTTTGTTTAAAATAATTTTAAACTTACTGAAGAGTTGCACTAATAGTACAAAGAGCCCTTGAATACCTTAATCTAGCTTCCTTCAATGTTAACATCTTACGTAACAGTAGAACAATTAACAAAACCAGGGAGCCAACGTGGATAGAGTGGTATTAATTAATCCAAGGACCTTAATCAACTTTGTGTTCTTTTACCCACTGATTTAAAGCTCAATAATGTTTAAGTCCTTTTCAGCTCTAAAAATCGTTGACGCATTTGATGTATTAAATTCTTTACCTTTATCTTGATCATTAAAAGCCAAAACATTTAATTTCCTAGAGACAGCTGAATATTCCAATAGTTTCTTTAAGTATTAAACAGAACAAAACTGAATTAAATTATTTTTAAGCCATTTCAGCTTGATAAATGCCATATAGTCTTGACTATGACCCTTTCCTACTGTAACTCTCTTAATTAACTTCTTCCTATGAACATAATCTTCTTTCTGTGTGTCCAGAGCCCCCTATTAGTAATAATCAAATCACATTAGCCTTAGGAGCCACTCAAGAGTGAAAAAACTGGTGGGAACTAGAAACCCACTGAACACCAGTCTGCTTACATCAGTCTGTCATAGTGATATGAATTTTTGGAGCCCCTAACCTCTTGCCACCCCAGCTTTTATATACTCCCTCATCACTTTAAAGTCTTCCAGATGAGCTTTAGACTTTTTGCAAAGGCCTGAACATGGAACCGAACCAAAGATAAACTGTGTAGTAAATGCATATACGACCCAAGTTCCATCACTTGCAGACTCATCACTGTTCTCAAATATTAGTTTAGACAAGTTGATTAATACTTGTACCTTTAGGTACTTCACAAGTTTGAAAGTAAATTTAATGAGATGAGTTTTTAATGTTTATTTATTTATTTTAAGAGAGAGAGAGAGTGCATGCAAGAGTGAATGTGAATGGGGGAGGGGCAGAAAGTGAAGGAGACAGAGAATCCCAAGCAGGCTCTGGCACTGTCAGTGCAGAATCCAACTCCAGGCTCAAAATCACAAGCCCACAAACAGTAAGATCATGACCTGAGCCAAAATCAAGAATTGGATGCTTAACCAACTGAGCCACCCATGCGCCCCAGAATGATAATGGTTTTAATGAAGTAACCTGAGTATCATTTGATGGAAAATCCGACTTAATCCAACACATTGCAACTCTGAATTATTTATCATAGGGCAAGAAAGCTTTAATACAAATTGTCTCAATCCCAAAATAATTCATGGAGATTCCAATGAGATTGTAATTCTTTTTTTTTTTTTTATGTCTTTTTTTTTTTTTTTTTTTT